TTGAGAGCAATGGAATCTTTCTTGGCCCTTAGTGAGCTCAAATAGGAAGGTTCTCTGATAATCATTTGCCAGCAAAGCTACCTGAACCCAGAGGCTTCCGAGTTCATTGTCTCATGACCAAGAACAAGAAGGACACTCTGATAAGGAGTGAGCAGAATAAACAGATTTGTTAAGGAAAAGCAAGCAAGAACTCCCCAGGCTGGGAAGGGCTGCAAAGGAGGAGTACTCTGTGCTGTTCTGCCCAGCACTAAGGAGACAGAGGCAAGTGGATCTCTGAGTTCAAGGCCAGCCTAGTCTATATAGCAAATTGCAGGATGGCCAGAGCTACACAGAGAAACTCAAAACAAAAAAAGATCAAATGCTTCATTCACACTTGACAAGCAGCTGTCAACTGTGCTACATTCCCAGTCCCTGACATGAACTATCTAACCTAACTCCTTGCACTAGATGGTCAGGAAAGGCTGTAGTTAGTCCACTCTTTTTTGAAGAGCCTTCTGGAAAGGACCTATTTCACCTAAATGAGTTGGACAGTGGGCTGGGGAAGCATCTTAGTGACTGCACCAATGATAACTGGGAGGTCCTTCTGGGAATCAGGGTAACCAGATCATGCATCAGCAGGCATTGTGTCACCTCTGGGTCCCCTGCTCTGCAGGAGGTGGAGGACAGAGGGATGTGGCTTTCTGAGTCAGCCAGGGAGTTTGGAGACAAGAGAACTTCAAAAGCAGAGTCCATAGCGTGGAAGGCCTGCTCTGAGTCAGCCTGTCACTGAGGCAAGCCGGACCTGGAATGTCTGCAGTGTCTGTGGGGGAGGTGGTGGTGAGTCACCGGTTGGGGCTGGAAGAGCCAGCAAACACCCTGAGAGAAAACTCTGCTGTTGTTCCAAGGCAGAACCCAGGAGGAGCCAAGAAGTGAGAGTCTGTCTCTTCTCCTTGCTCATCTGTGAGTGTGTGTGTGATTGTGTGTGTGTGTGCGCGCGCGCGCGCGCGCGCGCGCGTCAGGGGGAGAGAGACAGTGTTTCACACTGTAGCCCAGGCTAACCTGGAATTCACTTTATGTCTAAGCTAGCCTCGAACTTGGAATCCTTCTGCCTTAGCCTTCCAACTGCAAGAATTATAGGCACAACCTACTACACCAGCTCGTCTCTACCTCATCTTGAACCGCTGATTTTCAGGGATCCCTCACATCACCTATCCTACACATCCCCTCCACCTGTCTAAGTTTGGGGCTAGTTGAGGTGTCCTCCGGGCTCACATTGCCTGTGGCCTTTGACCCCTTATATCTTGAACTTTTCTGTAGTGAAATAGGCAGAAGGGGACTCTGCTCCTCTCCTCCCATCTAAAACCACATAGGACTGAACACCGTGGCGGGCGCTGCTCCTTTTGGTGTGGTCTGGCATGCTGGATTGCCACTTGGCTTAGATTTATTGAACTAATTTGAATCAAGTCCTGCAGGCCTGTGCTGAGGTTGCTATGTAGTGGAGTGCATGCCCAGAATTTGCAAAGTCCTGGGTCTGGTCCCCAGCACCACAATTAAAGGGGAAAAATGATTCTATCAGGTATTTCCAATCTCCAGAAATTTCCCAGGATCAGCCTCTCCACTTTGCTGCTTCCTAAGGTGCCCTGGGATGTCTGGCTTCTCTCTGGTCTCCAGCCACCCTCACCTCTTTGCTCTTTGTTCGTCCTGGGAAGAGGAGAAACTGCTAGTCTCCAGCCCACCACATGCCCTTCCCAGAGCCCAGGACACCTCAGTTTTGATTTGCCCATTTCAGGGTACAAGGACCACCTCATGATCAAGGGAAACTTTTGATGATGGTACCTGCTTGCGATCCCAGCCCTTTAGAGACTGAGGCAGGAGGACTGCATATTTGAAGCCATCCTGAACTACAAAACATGACTTTGTCCCCAAAACCAAACCAAGCTAGATGTAGTGGTTGGTTCCTATAATTAAGCGTGGAGGATCCACCTGCCTCTGCCTCCCGAGTGCTGGGATTAAAGGCGTGAGCCACCAACACCCGGCCTCACCCTGGGTTTTAAGACAGCCTAGGCTACAGAGTAAGGCCCTTTCTCAAAACAGCAAGCAAAACAAAGCAAAACTAGGTATGGTCGTGCACACCTGTAATCCTAACTCTTGTGAAATGGCAGCAAGAGAATCAGAAACCAAAACCATTCTCAGCCATACAGTGAGTGAGTCAGTGAGTTACTTAGTGAGTGAGGTGGCACACCCTTGTACTGCCAGCGTTAGGAAGGTTGAGGCAGGAGAATTACCACAAGTTTGAGGCCAACCTGGTCTAGTGAATTCCAGAGTAGTCAAGACTGCATAGGAGACCCTGACTTAACATCAACAATAAATCAAGGAACAACTGGGAGACAGCTGCAGAGGCTGGCAGAAAGGGAGTGAAGGCACCATCTTGGGACACATTGACAGAGGACGCAGTGGCTCTCACAGTCTTGGGAACTTACCACAGAGCCTTCCTTCACTTTGCTTTGGCACCAGACTCTAGGGCCCAGAGATGGTGTCTACTTTTTTCCAGTACCCTCCACCTTCACACAGGAGTGCTCAGGCTTTGATGCAAACCCCCACCAGCCCATTAGCTGTGTTGTGCAGCAGGGTGCAAGGTCTCAAGAAGCCCCTGCTGACCTCTGCAAGCTAAATCTGCTCTGACATCTAATCTCAGGCCATTGGTAGCTGGGAGATGCAATGCAAAGCTTGCTCCCAGGGAAGAAGGCTGTCTAGATGACAAGTGATGGTTGAGTAGGCAGGCTAGGTTTCCAGGAGGCAGAAGGGAGCAGTCTTTCCAGTCCAGCGACCTCTCATCCCACAGGGATACTTAACTCTGGACTAGATCTTCCACTGAGGTCACCAGAGTAACAAAATGACCTCCATTAGGCCCTGGAGCTATAGCCAGGACATGAGCTTGCTAGGTTAAGGGTTCCAGGAACCAGGATGAGTGAAGAAGGAAGAACCCAAGAAAAATGCCTTCTGGGACTGTCAAAATGGAGTCTGAACCCTGTGGCCAGAGCCAGGTTCTAAGTACTTGTGGGAAGGCAAAGAAAACTTTTCAGGGTTTTTGGACTGAGGAGGAGACAGCCCTGGATCCCAAGAAACTTCACTATGCTGAGAGAGTGTGGTCCCATTGTCATGGAGCCTTCAGACTGATGAGGGGTAGAAAGCCTTGTATCAGAGCTCAGGATGATAATGTGAGCTCAAAGGCCCCATGAAGACACAGGATGCAACAGCTTGAGGGACTTTGGTATCTGAAGAGGGGCTTAGGTTTTATTTTATTTTTCAAGAGAGGATCTCTCTGTGCAGTCTTGGATGACCTGGAACTAGCTCCATAGACCAGGTTGACCTCAAACTCACAGAGATCTACATGCCTCTCCCTCTTGAGTATTGGGATTAAAGGCATGCACCACCATTGCCTGGTTCATTTTGGTTTTTTGTTTGTTTGCTTGCTTATTTTTTTTAAAGATTTATTTATTTATTACATATACAGTGTTCTGCCTACATGCCAGAAGAGGGCACCAGATTGAACTATAGATGATTGTGAGCCACCATGTGGTTGCTGGGAATCAAACTCATGACCTTTGGAAGAGTAGTCAGTGCTCTTAACCTCTGAGCCATCTCTCCAGCCCCGATTATTTGTTTTTTAAGATTATTTTATTTGGTATGTTTGGGTGTTTTGCTTGTATGTAGGTGGAGTGGGTCACTCTCTGTATAACTTTGACTCTCCTGGAACTTGCTCTGTGGACCAGACTGGCCTCCAATTTAGCTGGGATTAACAGTTTGCACCACCATTCCCCGCCCTTTTCTTATTTTGAAATGGTTTTTGTTTGTTTATTTATTTATATTTGTTTGTTTGTTTGTTTTTTCAAGACAGAGTTTCTCTGTGTAACAGCTCTGTTCTGGAACTCACGATGTAGACCAGACTGGCCTTGAACTCACAGAGATCTGCCTGTCTCTGCTGGGATTAAAGATGTGCGTCACACTGTCCAGCTGAAATGGTTTTTATTATATAGTCCAGACTGGCCCCAAATACTCAAAAACCCTTTTTCCTTGGCCTCCCGAGTGCAGGCATACTCCACCATGATTGGCTCATAAATTTCCAGAATGATGGGGTTGTAACAGCTGGGAGCTTGCTTGCCTAGAATGTATAAAGTCTTGGGTTCATTCCTTAGCACTGCACAATCTCAGTACTCAGCAGAGGAAAGAAGATTAGAGGTTCAAGGACAACATCAGCTACATATCAAATGAGACCAACCTGGGCTACATGTCTAAAAAAAATCTTTGTGGAGAGAGTTAGGTCTTTCTGGAACCTTCAACATATAATTGTGCCATGTTATCCCATGTTGGAAACCATGTGACCAAAAGCTCCAAGTTCATCAGAATCACTGGGAATTCTGAAGACACCCACCCCCGGGTAGCCTCATCTCTGCAGTACCACCACCATCAATTAATGTCCATATCTGGTCGGGCATTGGTGGTACATGCCTTTAATCCCAGCGCTCTGGAGGCAGAGGCAGGTGGATCTCTGTGAGTTCAAGGCCAGCCTGGTCTACAGAGCGAGTGCCAAGATAAGCTCCAAAGCTACACAGAGAAACCCTGTCTCCAAAAAGAAAAAAAAATCCATATCTGGGATTCAAACCACCACTGTCCCTTCTCTTCCCCCCCAGAAGTCACCTATGGCTTTGTGGGGATACCCCCCTCCATCAGAGGGAGCCACCTCAGTTAACCCTCTTCCAGGTAACCCTTTCTACCCACAGCACCCAACAGGAAGTAGGGCAGAGAACAGTGGGCACTGTGCCCACAAAAGAGGAGAGAGAAATGGGGTGCTCAAACTACTCTGCCCACCAGGGCTGGAGATATCCAAATGTTAATCACCTATTAGCACAGCCCAGGTGGAAAGGGACCCGTCATTAGGTGTGCAATAGGCTTCACTGGGCAGGGGCAGTGGGCTTGAGTACCTGAGATAAGAGGCTTTTAGGCTAATTAGCGGCTCTGCTGCGCCTGCTTATAAAGAAACTAAGATGGGTCTTGAAGCAGGATCCTGAGAGCCAACAGGTAGAAGGAAGGGACCCAATCCTGCCCTCCTGGAAGAGCCGGAAGAGCAGTGGGGTAAGAAAGAGGCCGGGAGGAAGTGTGTCTCCTGGCTCCTTACTCTGTCTGCCTTCTTATCTGTACGGGAACCCAGAAGATAGTTCAAAGGGATTCATAGGAAGACCAGGTCTCGAACCCTTGGGCTAGCTCTGGCCTTCAGGGATCTGGAGGAAGGTTTCTTGCTGCCTGCTGTCTCTCTCCAGAAGACTGAAAAAGTCTTCAGAAGAAAGAAACTTTAGGAAGAATTTCCGAGTTGCAATAGTAAGCGTGTGTGTGTGTGTGTGTGTGTGTGTGTGTGTGTGTGTGTGTGTGTGTGTAGGATGGTTCTCTGTGTGGTTTCATCCAGGGGAGGGATTTGATGGCTGAGTAACAGCTTAGTTGGAAGCAGGAAGGTGGGCTGCTGTGAACTTTGTTAGGGCTTTAAGGGGATAATCTTGCCAAATCCTGTCCCTGTGATGCCTGGTAATGAGCCAGAAAGGGAGTTCCCACCACCTAGGCCTTTGCTGATTTCTTCCCAGAGCTTCCATCCCATCCCTCTCCGAACCCACACAGCAAGATCAGCTCTGGGTCAAGGCTCCATGTCCCTTCCAGTCCCTTCCTATAACCCCCACTTGCTCCTACCCCACCCCAACTCTCAGCACTCGCCCACGTCCTAGCATCAGATGGCCTCCTGGATGTCCCTCAGTGCAGTTACTGGCTTTTTTTCCTCTCAGCTCAGGCACACAACCTGGGAAGATGGTGGCGGTGAAGACCTGCTCTCTGCTGCTGGTGTTCCTCTTCCTGGCGGTCGGGCTGGGGGAAAAAGAAGAGGTTCAATTCAGGTAGGAGTGGGAGGTATAGGGGGCTGGGATGTAAACTGGTTTGGGGTAGGGGTGGTGAGAAAGGCAGGGACTCCAGGCTGAGGGGAGGGAAGTTGAGGAGGGGAGCCAGGCTGCAGCCTGAGCATGAAATGTGGACAGAACCCGAGAGTTATTTATTGCGAGTTCCTGTTGAAGAGAGACTGTGGTTGGCTAGGTCTGTGCAAGGACTTTTTTGGTGGCGGACAGTCTGCAGTGTAGGGTCTCCCTTACAAAAACTAACCATCATCGATGTATGCACACATTCACTCAGCTCTCATAGGCGCTTCCTGTGCAACAGACACAGGTCTGAATATACGTGAACAAAGGCTCACCGATGGCTCCTGCCTTCAGTGAGTACATGGGCCGAGGCAGACACAGAAAAGAACCACATAAACATGGTACAGAGCGCCGGGCAGTGGTGGCACACGCCTTTAACCCCAGTACTCAGGAGGCAGAGGCAGGCGGATTCTAGGACAGCCTGGTCTACAAAGCTACACAGAGAAACCCTGTTTTAGAAAAAACAAACCAACAGACATGTTAGAGTACTGTGGACCAAACCCGAGACAGTGACGGGGTAATGTTGAGTGTGGCAGCTCACTCCTAAAACTTCAACTTCAGCACTTGGCAGGCAGAGACAGGGAGATTGAAAAGTCTGAGGCTAGAGGCTGGAGAGATGGCTCAGAGGTTAAGAGCACCAACTGCTCTTCCAGAGGTCCTGAGTTCAATTCCCAGCAACCACATGGTGGCTCACAACCATCCACAATGAGATCTGGTGCCCTCTTCTGGCATGCAGACATACATGGAGGCAGGATGTTGTATTCATAATAAATAAATAAATCTTTAAAAAAAAAAAAGAGGCCGGGCGGTGGTGGCGCACGACTTTAATCCCAGCACTTGGGAGGCAGAGGCAGGCGGATCTCTGTGAGTTCGAGGCTGGGCTGGACCGATAGCCTCCAAAACAATACAGAGAAACCCTGTCTCGAAAAACCAAAAAAAAAGAAAGAAAAAGAAAAGTCTGAGACTAGCCAGGTGTTGGTGGTGACGCGCGCCTTTAATCCCAGCACTTGGAAGGCAGAGACAGGCAGATCTCTGCGAGTTCTAGGCCAGCCTGGTCTACAGGAGCTAGTTCCAGGACAGCCTCCAAAGCCACAGAGAAACCCTGTCTCGGAAAAAAAAAAGTTTGAGGCTAGCCTGGGCTACATAACAAAATCAGAGTCTGGAGGGAGGGAGTGAGAAAAGGAGGGAGAGGCGGAGGAAATGATGAGGTGAGTGCAGCCAGGCTCTGATGGCGTTTGGGGACCAAGGCAGAGACTTGTCAAATAATACTGGACTTTCTCAGATGAAAGGACAACTCACGTACCACACCAAGTTGGCACACGTAAAATGTGAGGCAAAGCTGTCAGAAATACTCACCAGGAGGGCAGACCTTGTGTTTGTTTAGAACAAAGCTTCAGGCCAGGCAGTAGTGGTATATGCCGCCTTTAATCTCAACACTCAGGAGGCACAGGCAGGCAGATAGCTCTGAGTTAGAGGTCAGGGAGATGGCTAAGAGGGTAAAGTCACTTGCTGCCCAACGATGCAAACCTGACAACTTGAGTTCAGTTCCCAGAAGGCACAAAAATGTGGAAGAAGAGAAATAACTCCACATGTGCTCTGTGATGGGAAACCCCCCATGATAATAATAAAATGTAAACAACAGAACTTGGGATCCTCCTGCCTCCAGTTCCTGAGCACTGAGATTACTGATACTGAGCCTTTGGAAGTTGGTTCTCTCTATCCTGTGGGTCTTGGGGTTGAACTCAGGTTCACAGGCTTGATAGCAAAACAAACCTCTTTATTTGCCAAAAAGTCTCAGCAGCCCCTGAGTTCACTATTATTATCATTATTTTTCACTATTATTATTTTTTTAATAATTCATTTATCTTGATTTTTATGTGCATTGGTGTTTTGCCTGCATGTATGTCTATGTGAGGGTGTCAGATCCCGGAGTCACAGACAGTTGTGAGCTGCCATGCCATGTGGGTGCTGGGAACTGAACCTGGATCCTCTGGTAGATCAGTCAGTGCCCTTAACCAATCACTGAGCCATCACTCTAGTTCCCCCTTTTTTTTTTTTTTTTGGTTTTTTCAGACAGGGTTTCTCTGTGTAGTCCTGGCTCTCCTGTAACTTTCTCTGATCCACCTGCCTCTGCCTCCCAAGTGCTAGAATTAATGGTATGAGTCACCACTGCACAGCCCTATTTTAATTTTTATATTTATTTAGAGATATGGTCTTTTCTTTCTTTCTTTTTTCTTTCCTTTTTTAAGATAGGGTTTTTCTGTAGCTTTGGAGGCTGTCCTGAAACTTGTTCAGTAGGCCATGTTGGTCTCAAACTCACAGAGATCCACCTGTTTCTCCCTCCTGAGTTCTGGGATTGAAGGCGTGCGCCACCACTGAGTTGAACTTTCAGAGATCCTCCTGCTTCTGCCTTCCAAGTGCTGGGATGACAGGCATGCACTCTCACGACCAGCTTCATTCACTTTGCTATTGACTATGAACCAAAGGACTTAACCAAGCTATATGGTTTTCCAATCTTTGTGCCTTCACTGCTATCCTGGTTTCTATCTCTCACCTCCTCTCAGATCCCATGCTAAATTCGGTAGCCCCCGGCCTCGAGGCCCGAGGTATGCAGAGGGGACTTTCATTAGTGATTACAGCATTGCGCTGGACAAGATCCGCCAACAAGACTTTGTGAACTGGCTGCTGGCCCAGAAGGGGAAGAAGAATGAGTAAGTAACCCTCTGCACCCCTCCTGGCCCATGCCAGACTCTGCTATGCTCACACCACCTCCTAGGAGACCATATGGGCTGTGAGGTGCACAACTCCATAGACATCTTTCAGTAGGTGAGGATGAGGAAGTGGCCACACCCAGGGCTCTGAGACTCTGACTGGGCAATAGAGCAGTCTGTTGCAGGATGAGGTGTTGTCCCATCCTTTATTTCTAGGGGTTGGAGAAGCCCCAAGAGGGACCCCAGAAGTCTGGGGATAAAGGCAGCAGGAGATGGGTTGCCTGTTTGCTGGTGGTTACTTTGGACTCCGGGATTAAACAACTATTGTGCCTCTCACAACCTACGACAAATCTTGTTCTGCTGCTGTTTCATCAGCCTGGAGGATTCTGAAGAGCTGTCAGTGATGGAGGCCACTGAATACAAACAGAGGCGGGGATGTGGGGTGTCAGGATGTAGAGAAAGAGGCACTGTTGCTCCTATGGTTGAGGGATTAAAGGTCCCAGTGCCTCTGGGTGGGGAAACTTCAATTGTTCTCTCCATCTGACTCACTCCCAAATCGTCTTCATCTCGCCAGCTGGAAACACAACATCACCCAGAGAGAGGCCCGGGCCTTGCAGCTGGCAGGACAATCTCAGAGCAATGAGGAGACAGAGGGGCAGCAGAGGTGAGTCTACCATGAGGAGAGAGGGGTAACAGAGCCTCCGGCTCACTGGTTTCACTGAATAGCAGTCTGTCCTTGGGCCACCAACCAGCTCCCAAATCATGTCGTGGATATTAGTTACCAATGCTCAGCCTTCGCTTATTCTTGTCCCACTAGCTCTTATAACTTAAACTATTTCTGTGCATCTACCTTGTGGCTTGGGTCTTTTTGCCGTTTATTTTGTTTTTCAAGACAGGGTTTCTCTCTGTAGCCTTGGCTGTTTTACAATTCACTCCGTAGAGCAGGATGACCCCAAACTCACAGAGATCCACCTGCCTCTGCCTCCCAAGTGCTGGGATTAAAGGTGTGCCCAGTTTTACCTTTCTTTTATTCTATATGTCTTACTCCTTGTCTGTATGGCTGCCTGGCACGGGGTGTCTCTTCCTGCCTTGTTCTCTTCTCCCTCTTCTCTTGAGCCAAGATTCCTCCTCCTAATTCTCTGTGCCCGCTAGTCCCACCTATCCCTCTGCTGCCTAGCTGTTGGCTATTCAGCTTTTTATTAGAGCAGGCAGGTGCTGTAGGCAGGCAAGGGAAACAGCAACACATCTTTACATGGTTAAACAAATGCAGCATACACAAACGTAACACACCTTATATAGTTAAAGTAATATCCCCAATACAGAGAAACCCTGTCTCGAAAAACCAAAAAAAAAAAAAAAAAAGTAATATCCCACAACAGCTCCCACTCTCAGACTGCAGAGGAGGGCGGAGACCCCACGACAAGCACCCCCTTCTCTAAGAGCTCAAAGAGAGGGTTCCAGTGAGAGAAGTCCTGGAGGACCCCTGAGGGCTCTCTAAGGCACGTGACTCAATGTATACATGGATTCATTGTATCAAGGAAAGTAGGGAAAGAATGACCTCAGAGTTGACTTCTCCCTGCCAAACCTCAGGAGGGCTGTTTGGGAGGCCAGAGTCCTGACATCTGCCACTGATCTGTGAAGAAGTGATGAATGTGATGCAAGTGGAGGCATTCTCAGATCCTTTTAGAAGTGAGTGGTTTATTTTGCCTGGATTGAGGACCCTGTGCCCCCTGGGAAGGCAGAACTAGGTAGGGCCCAGCACAAAAGAGGCTAGGATCTGAGAGTGGAGATATCCCAGAGGCAGCTAGCTGTGCTGGCTCCCTGGCCCTTGGCATGTACTTTAATCCCAGCACTCAGTCCAACTTGGTTTACATAGCAAGTTCTGGGCCAACCAGGGCTACAGAGTGAGACTCCTGAAAACAAAACACCCAGGCCCCTGCCATCTGTCTCCTTTGCAGCTCCTTGCCCAAGAACCCCAGTGACGAAGGTGTGCTGAGGGACTTCCTGATTCGGGAGCTGCTGGCCTGGATGGTGGACCAAACAGAGCTCTCCCTGCCCAGGTGGGGAGCTTGAGAGCTATGTGGGTGTTGCAAGGTTGTTAGTTTAGACTTCCAGGTGACATGCATATTCAGATTTGTGTGTGTTTGTGTTGGGAATGGAACCCAGCGCTTTGCAATTGTTAAGCAAATCCTCTACCACTGAGCCATATCCCCAATCCTGTTTGTTTGTTTGTTTGCTTAGCCCAGGTTGGTTCCCAGCACCCTGTGTTGCCTAGGTTGGTGTCAAACTCACGATCGATCCTCCTATCTTCTCAGTACTGGGATTATAGGTGTCTGCCTAGAGTCTTCATTCAGTACACACTGACCTCAGAGTAGTCACTAAAATCAGATCTATAATGGCTGTGCGTGTGTATGAGGCACCTGTCACCTAGCACTTGGCAGGAGGATCTCAGGAAGATTGTCTAGTAGCTTGAGTCCAGTCTATACTGGTGAGTTCCAAGTCAGCCAGGTCTATGTAATGAGAACCTATCCCCAAAATTTAAACTAACACAACAACAAACTAGAACAAAAAGAAAACCATAACCTATAACTTTGATTCCAGCACTTGGGGGGTAGAGGCAGGAGCATATCTGAGTTTGAAGCCAGAAAGAGTTCCATGATGAGAAGAAAAAATCACAAATGTGGTGTGGTGTCACTTGCCTATATAATCCCAGCACTCAAGAGATAGAAGCAGGAGGACTAGAAGTTCAAGGTCAATCTTGGTTACTGACCCTATTTGAGGCAAGCCTGAGCTACAGAGTTATAGACTGTCTCTATTTTATTTATTTACATTGGTGTTTTGTCATGGGTGTTGGTTCCCCTGGAACTGGAGTGACAGACCATGGTGAGCTGTCATATGGGTGCTGAGAAAGGAACCCAGGACCTCTGGAAGAGCAGCCAGTGCTCTTAACCACTAAGCCATCTCTCCAGCCCCTAGACTGTCTCAAAACCAAACCGAACCAACCAAAGGACCAAACAAAAAAGTCTAGGCCACATAAATCTTTCCATGGAAGGTTGGCAGAGCGCTTGCCTAGCAGGTATAAAGACCTGGGTTCTCTCCTTCATACTGAAGAAAAAAGCTTATGGGATTGTGGCTAGCTTTAAAGAAGATAAAGCAAGTGTAAAGTCATACACCTGTATTTTTTTTTTTCGAGACAGGGTTTCTCTGTGGCTTTGGAGGCTGTCCTGGAACTAGCTCTTGTAGACTAGGCTGGCCTCGAACTCACAGAGATCCGATCCACCCGCCTCTGCCTTCCGAGTGCTGGGATTAAAGGAGTGCGCCACCAACGCCCGGCACCTGTGTTCTTAAAAATTAGCAGGTTCGATGGGCGGTGGTGGCGCACGCCTTTAATCCCAGCACTCGGGAGGCAGAGGCAGGTGGATCGGATCTCTGTGAGTTCGAGACCGGGTTGGTTCGACAGCCTCCAAAACAGTATAGAGAAACCCTGTCTCGTAAAACCAAAGAAAACAAACAAACAAACAAAAAAAAACTTAGCAGGTTCAGTGAGAGATGCTTCCTTTAAAAAGTAACGTGGGGGTGCTGGAGAGATGGCTCAGCTGTTAAGAGCACTGAGGTCCTGAGTTCAATTCACAGCCACATTGAATGAGATCTGGTGCCCTCTGCTGGCATAGAGCCAGAAGATTGTATACGTAATAAAATTAAATAAAAAGTAATGTGGGAGGGGCTGGAGAGATGGCTCAGACGTTAAGAGCACTGGCTGCTCTTCCAGCTGTGTTCTGTTCCAGCACCTGCAGGATGGTTAATAGCCATCCACTAGCTCTAGTTCCAGAGCCTTCTCTTTGGGCTCCACAGGCACTGTCTTCGCATTGTGCACATATATACACATAGGCAAAATGCCCAAACACATAAAATAAAAGGAAATAACCTGTTTTTAAAAATTAAGGTGGGTCAGAAGTTGGTGGCTCATGCCTTTAATCCCAGCACTCGGGGAGGCAGAGACCAGTCTGATCTACAAAAGAAAAAAGAAAAAAAAAAAAGATGGACAGCAACCTCTGGTCTGCACACATGGACACACACGAACATGTACACAAATACATACATGCACACACACACCACACATACACAAACATGCGATGTAATCAAGCCAGTGGAGATGAGAAATCTCTATAGGAAGGTGAGGAACTGTCTCTGTACCTTGTGAATGATTTCGACTACTGATAAATCATTTAAAAAGGTCATTTGAAGCTATTCAGTGGTGGTGCACACCTTTGATCTCAGCACTAGGTAGGCAGAGGTAGGTGGAACTCTGAGTTTGAGGCCAACCTGCTCTACAAAGCCAGAACAGCCAGAGCTGAAACACAGAGAAACCCTGCCTGGAAAAAACCGAAAACAAACATAAAGGCTATTTGCAGGTAGGAGTGAGTGGTTTATCTACCACCAGGATAAATTTGCTGAGCTGACTCCAAGTTGGTAACCACCCTCCCTTCCACCCCACCCTTACTTGTCTCCCCTCTTCCAGGTTTCAGTGACGGACCTAGCTCAGAGCAGGACTGGACTCTGCCCTTTGCTTGCCCAGCTCCTGCTTCCGCCCTGGTCCAAAGTCTCCAAGAGAACCAAACCAATAAAGTCTTGAGCTGAAGTAAATCCTGGTGTCCACTGTGAAAACTCATTCACATGTGAACTGAGCACTGACTCGATGGGGTCGTGCACATCCTGGGTGTGGCCATGCCTCCGGGGAAACGGGACACCAATTATTCCTCTGTACACCCGCAAGCTGGAAACTCAGAAGACAAGAGGGCTTCTGACAGAGTCACGTGTATGACCACGAAGCAAACAGACACATGCAGACCTTCATGCTAGCTGAGTATGACGCTACAAGCCGTAAAACCAGTACTGAAGAGGGAAGGCCAGGGGACCAGGAGCTCAAGGACAGACTCGGCGACTTGAGAGTGTCTTAATGTCTCAAAAGCAAGCATAGACACAATAAGGGGGGCTCTTCAGCACATGGGTCTTCCAAGTAGTTGGGGCTGATGTGCCATTACCACAGCCGACAAACCTTCATCTTTAAACACACAAACACATTGCTAGTCATAGTGTGCTGAGTCGAGTGAAGAAAGACAGAAAAGTCCTTTCTAGGTGTAATGTGGTGAGAGAACGGCATTTAAGCTTACACTGGGAGGCCTAAACAGTGAATCGATGGGCTGGGGAGACAGCTCAGTGGTAAGAATGAGAGGGCTGGACTCCCAGGACCCCCATTCAGTGGCTCACAATGGCCTGTAACTCTCGCTCCAGGTGATCCAACATACTCTTCTGGCCTCAGAGGGCATGCACACTCAACTGTGCATATCCCCGCACAGACACACATACATACACATCAATTTAAAAAAGTAAGTCAGTAAATCAGAAGATAAGCAATGGGGAGTACACACAAGAGTTGAGGTAGCAGTCGGGACTCAGGACTCAAAGGGGTGGCTCAGCATTGAAATACAGCACTGGGGAAGACTAGGCAGGAAGACTGTTGTAAGTCTGAGGCAACCTGAACTGTGGTGAGACCTTGTATCTAAATAAAATGTTGGGTTTGGTAGCCCACATCTTTAATCCTAGCATTCTGGAGCCAGAGGCAGATGGACCTTTGAGTTTGAAAGCCAGCCTGGTTTACATAGTGGAGTTCAAGGCCAAAAAGGGCTACACAGTAGGACTAAAGAAATTTAGTTTGGAGTAGTGGTTCATACCTTTAATCCTAGCACTCAGGAGGCAGAGGACTGTGGATCTCTGTAAGTTCAAGGCCAGCCTGTTCTATAAAGCTAGTTCTAGAATATCCAGGGCTACACAAAGAAACACTGTCTCAAGAAACCAAAAAATATGTACTTTATAAATATAATTTGAGTATACTTATTTTGTGGGGTGGTTGGAGGGATAGCTCAGTGGTAATAAGGAACATGGGTTGTTCTTTCAAAGAATCTGGGGTTCCATTCCCAGCATCCACAAGACAATACACAACTGTCTATAATTCCAGTCCCAAGGGATCTGATGCCTTCTTCTGGCATCTGAGAGTACTCAGGAAGCTGTTGGCCTTGCTTTTTCTTACTGGCTAGCTCTGACTTAAGTGTTTACCCCATAATTGTTAATCTAAGTATTTCTCTTACTGGAGAGGTTTCCGGGCTTCCTGCCCCATGGCGGTTACATCTTGACTTCCTGTGTTTCTCCTACCCAGAGTCCTCCTGGACTCTTAGTCCCACCTATCTTGCTTCCCTATTGGCCAAAAGTGCTTTATTGACATATACACAGGACTTCCGCCATCATCTCCTCTTTTCTGTCTAAACAAAAAGAAAGGCTTTAACTTTAACATAGTCAAATTATATATAACAGAACAGTTATCAAGTAAGAACACAGTTACAACATTTTGTCTATCAACATTCAGCAAGATTTAAAGAAAATATCATCCATTCCATCCTTGTGAGTTCAAAGTTCTATATGTAGCTTATCTCTTATCATAACTAAGGAAAACTATAATTATAACTATCTGCCTTCAACTCTATCAAAGACCACAGAAGGATAATATATAAACACTAGAATTGACAGAGACATCTTACTGTCTGGACAGTCACCCGAAGTTCCTCTGCAATGTTGGGGCATCCATCTTCAGCCCATAGGCCACAATGTGTCCAGAAGATTTCTCAGCAAAGCAGGAAATTTCAAATTGTCCATCTGCATCAGCAGTCTGTCAGTCATTTTTCTGTGTCCTGCAGAAAGTCTCCTAGACTCTTCCATGAATCAGGAACCCTGAAGGACTGTTTGAGTTTAGCAGTCAATTTTCTGTGGGTCCTGCATATCCCGTTTATACAGCAACAGTCAAACAGTATAGGCAAGAGCAGTTTCTTGCCCAAATGGCTAATCTTGCCATGTTGAAAGCAAACTCCATAATAAGTTTCTTTGATGCCCATCTTCCTTTCAGACATAATTGGTGCTTCCAGGAGCAGACATTTCTCATTATCAAGAAAAACCCTAAACCATTTTAAATGCCATTTTCTGAAGGTCTTTGAAAGGTTTGAAGACTATCTATCTCAATCTCAAATATATCTCTGTATATCTAGAAAACCTAACTTACCTAACTATGAGTTCTGACTATTATAAGTAACTATCTATAGTCTGTATTGAATTATGCATTACATTTTAAAAGAACAGTATAAGTACAATACTTAATCAAGAGGAGAAATATACATATCACAAAATTGACCTTGAGTTTGTATCAATAATTGAAAAACCATATCAATACAAAGTACTCATTTCCATACCATAATCCCCTTTTTCCTTTAAGAAGAGATTGGTTGTGATCATTAACCAATTATAAACAATCCCATATAAATGAAAACAAATATTTATAAACAAGATGGGAATTAGAATGTCGCTCATTCCAAACTGCTTCATGCTGGAAGGGGGCGCTGTTCATACCATGGGGATCATGACAAAACTCAGAAACCTATATAAGTCCTTATTTTTAGGGTCTGTAAAGCTGCGTTATCTTAGCTGTTTCAGTTGTTGGAACACTTGGTCCACTGCTTCCGGGGCTTGGTTCATCAAACCACAGAAGCCTGGAAGGAATCCTCAGATTTTCATTTTCTGTAGAAACATAAACAAAATCTCCTTTCCCAAGTAACATATCCTTATATTTAAATTTTGAAGTCAAGGCATTTTCAAAAGATATAAGTTGAATTAATTCAGCAGCATTTATAATCAAGTGTACTTTAGCAGTTGTTCCTTCCTGAGCAATCAAAAAAACTGAAAAACACAATAGCATACAGTATCCAGACTATGTGTGTATTTTCCACCTTTGTGTGGCTTATTTATTTATCTATATTATTACTGTATTTCTTTTACTTTTATTTCTTTTTCTCTGAGACAGGGTTTCTCTTTGGAAATCCGCCTGCCTCTGCCTCTGCAACAATTCCTACCAACTTGCGCCACCACAGCCAGCTTCTCTATTTATTTACCACTATGCCGTTTCTTTTTCTCCCTCAATTCTACGTATATTTTTAAGCACACTGTAAATCTTTAGAGGTTTTTCTTCATCCAAGTCTGACTTTACTGTAAATGTTTATGTTTTTCTGGCTACATGTCTTATCTGTTAAAACCGTGGCTGTTTTAAACTGCAGTTTTTCCAAGATGGCGCGTAAGCGTGATTTCAGCACATAGCCTCAGTCTATGCTGAGATCCAGCAAAAGCTGCCGGCTTGGAGATGTGGTCACTGCCACTTCCAGCCGTACGTACAACTTTTCAATTGTTAGCAGAGCCTCTTAAAAGAACCTTGCCTGTTTTTTTTTTTTTTTTTTTTTTTTTGCTTATGCTGAGTCAGGAAGACTCCCTTAAGAGAGCCACGTGCGTCTCTGCTTGTCTGTAGCAAAACAGAGCCCACCTAAGAAAAATGCTGCTACCAAAAACCCATGCTTTTCTCCGTTCTTTTGTTTCTAAAATTCCTTTAAAGCTTTTGTCATTCTGCATGGAAATTCATCATCCCACTCCTGATCACCATTATGTAAAGGGAAGCCTTCCCACCAGCCTGGTTCCAGAGCCACATCAGTTCCAAATAAACACACAGGGACTATATTAATTATGAAGCTGTTGGCCTTGCTTTTTCTTACTGGCTAGCTCTGACTTAAGTGTTTACCCCATAATTGTTAATCTAAGTATTTCTCTTACCGGAGAGGTTTCCGGGCTTCCTATCCCATGGCAGTTACATCTTGACTTCCTGTGTTTCTCCTACCCAGCGTCCTCCTGGACTCCTAGTCCCACCTAGCTTGCTTCCCTATTGGCCAACAGTGCTTTAGTGACATATACACAGGACTTCCCCTATCATTATTATATTTAATGAAGCACTTAGGATTCATTAAAAGCAGGTTTTAAACTGGGCGGTGGTGGCACATGTCTTTACTCCCAGCACTTGGGAGACAGATGTAGGTGGGTCTCAGAGTTTGAGGTCAGCCTGGTCTGCAGAGCGAGTTCCAGGGCAGCCAGAACTACACAGGGAAACCCTCTCTTAACAAAAATAAAAGAAAAACCATTACTATTATTTAGTAAATATTTGCTTTTGCTGGCGCACGCCTTTAATCCCATCACTCGGGAGGAGGCAGAGGCAGGCAGATCTCTGTGAGTTCGAGACCAGCCTGGTCTACAAGAGCTAGTTCTAGGACAGCCTGGAAAGCCACAGAGAAACCCTGTCTCGAAGAAAAAAATTTTTGCTTTTATCTTTTTGTTTTTTTTTTTTTTTGTTCTTGCTATGTAATTCTGGTAGTTTTGAAATTCACTATATAGCTCAGGCTGGCCTCCAACTTAGAGGTCTGCCTGCCTCTGCCTCTGGAGTACTAGAATTAAAGGCGTGTGCCACCACGTCTGGCACTTAAAATTATCTTTTCGTTTATTCCTTTCTGCATGTGAACACTTCGGGACACCACAGTGCAGGTCTGTGTGGGTGTACAGTGGCCCCATGAGGAAGTCAGAGGACCACTTGGAGGAGTTCGTTCTCTCCTTTCACCATGTAGGCCCTGGAAATCAAACCCAGGTCTTAGGGTTGGTCACCTCATCTTCCCTACTGGTTTATTTGTTCTGTCTCGAGACAAGGTCTCATGCAGCTCATGCTGGCCTCTTGC